ACTATTTTTCCACTATGGCTTTTGCCTTTAAAATTTTCTCAAAAGATTATACTCTTGTCAATCCTTGTAGTGATGCAAATAACTATACTTCTACAATATATAGTGAAGTGGGATATTTTCCACTTGGGTGTTGAGTGAGGCATTGTTGATTTTAAAATCCAAGTCATATCCTCCACTTTGAGATGATGCAAATTCTCCTTTCTCATAATTGTGGGTAGTAAGTATGTTTTCCACACAGACAATGATGATGATGTCTTATCTCATAAATTTAACCAACACACCTGTGTTTTAAAATTTTTAAAAGCCAAACTATGATGCTCTGACTTTCCCATTGCACGAGGGAGCACATAGGCACTAAGTCTTACGACCCAAGGCGAGAAACAAAAATAATAAAAAACATTTCATTTTCTTTTGTTTACAAATACACATTCATTATTTTCCTTTAGCAACTAAACCTTTACATGATACTCATTTTAAAAGAAACCAAACAAAATTGATCCTGCGGAGTATCGTAGATGCTTAGGGTGCTAATACCTTACCTTTGCATAACCGACCCCCGTAACTTGATCTCTGATCTTTTACTTCATTATGGGTTTTGTTTGCTTTTTTCACATTTCCTTTTGGAAACAATAAAGTGCGGTGGCGACTTCATTGTGTTGAGATAAGTTAATTGATGGCTTAAATCTCAAATCTTTACCGCTACATTTCTTTTCCTATCATTATTGTCTCAATTTCGTTCTCTCTTAGTTCTGATTTGCGCGTGCGACAAAAACACATGAATGTCAAAAATCACCAGTAATCAATCCAATGGAAAAGAATAAAGTACCTTTCAGATCCACTCACATTAAACCAAAAGTCAGGATCCTTCACTATCTACTCACTAGAATCCTTTTCTCCATAATGATAAACAACAACTATTTGATCTGAGAAGATATAGTATCCTAATGGTTGCTAACCTAATAAATTCCAACAAACTGTAGAAAGTATTTTCAGACATATGATCCACTATAAGGAAAATCCAGCTGCTAAACTAACTTATAGGCCTTTAGTCACAAAACTTTTCACCGTCTTTGATGTTGACACAACTAGTGAGGTAGAAGACCCAAAAAATCATAGGATTACCCTCGTCACCCTAAAAGAAATAAGATTCCACATCATAAATGGAGAGATAAAAGAAGACTTGCAATTTATAGAAGAAGAAGAAGAAGAAGAAAAAGAAAAACCAAATGAAAAGGATAGTGATAACTACAAAAATAGATAAAATATTAAATCTCTGCCTAATCATAACCGGAAATATAAAGAAACCCACAACTAAGAGAAATGAAGATCACGTTATAGAATAAGCATTACTAGACTCAGGACCTCTCACACTCTTTCTACCTTCACACTTTTAAATTCATGTACTTTCATTTTTGCACGTTTCTTTGTGTATTTTAATAATATGAGTATATTCTTCCTTACCTAAATGACCTTAGTGCCTTTTTTCACATATCCTCTATAAAGTTACCCTTGAGTTGAATAAATTGATAAATTGATAAATGTGATAAAATCTTGTTATATATATATATATATATATATATATATATATATATATATATATATATATATATATATATATATATATATATATATATATATATATATATATATATATATATATATATATATATATATATATATATATATATATATATATATATATATATATATATATATATATATATATATATATATATATATATATATATATATATATATATATATATATATATATATATATATATATATGATGTAATGATATTTTCTCTAATAATGCCCATTACGTGTTTATCTCAAGAATTCCTTATGCTATTTTCTATATCTGCATATTTAGCTTTATGAAAATTGCAACTTTTTACCCTTATTTTTTATTTTAACAACGGGGAAGAAGTATACTATCCATGGAGGATATATATTTTATCTAACTCAGGGGAGTTTATCATTCCAAACATATTCTGTATCTTTTACCACCTCCCCTGAGAGATGTGTTGTAATCATCAAAAGAGGGGATAATATGGAACTTTGTTTTGCAGGTAATAGATTTTTATCAAGACAATATCTTTTGATGATAACAACTATAAAGGAAAGAATAAAGTATCCATCATGCAAACTATGATAAGTTAAACAAAGCATTTAAGCAGTTAAAGATGCAAGCCATAAGTATAATGAGTATAAAGGATTAATAAACATGACTATCAGATAAAAACAAAACAAATTGGATTCAATGAAAAGCGTCAAGATATCTCAAACAAGTGTCAACACAAAAGATTACAACCGATAAAGGCTTAGAGAAAATATCTTTAAATAGTAAGTAAGTTCGACTATATAAAAGCAAAATGACTTTTCCATAGAAGTACATGGCTATAAGCACACACACTAAAACCTTTTTTATCAAATGGTTTTCAAAATGGAAATACTTTTAAAAATACATAGAATTTGTATAGAACAGATTGGGAGCATTCAAAACACCACAAACCAAATTTTCACTATATTTAATCGGTTGAAGCAAAATGTTAACCGATTAAATTAGCGCATATATGAGGTGTAAGGCGAGATGAATGCACCCAGCTTCTGTACAACGACTAAATATCTTATACTTCCATTTTGGGATTCATATACGATTTTTTAAACCTTAACTGACTGAATTAATCAATAAACAATAACTATTTTTTCTTAAATGCTATTTCCTTATTTGGGGAACCTCAAACCTATAAATAAATGATTCTTTTCTCAATTCAAATCATCCATAATATGATTTTTGTATTGACACTCTTTCTCTCTCTAAAGTTTTTATTTTTAACTTTCTCTCACTAGTTCTTATAATCAAATGCTTTTATGGGGAAAGTTTATTTTATGGGGAAACTACCTTTTGGAAGAGTAGAATTGGATACATTAACCAAGGTAACTATGTTTATAAAATTTTGTTGAATTTTTTCCAAATAGGGATTCTATATGTGGTTCGAAGCTAAACCCATTAAAAGCTTGTGGTTGGGGGTCGTGTGATGAGTTCCTACACTTATATATAGGATGGAGATCATCTAGCTGTGGATATATTACATTGGTTCTTGGTTAGACTTTTTAAAACCATGACATGTTTATATTAGGCTTGTTCTAAAATCTTCATAGGTTTTTAGATCATCCCGGTTAAAATCTCAAGGTTATTTTGGTTATCCTATTAAAACCAAAAGGGAGCTCAAATAAATTTTGGAACATGAAGACTAACATCTACAAGATTCATGTTCATGGAGAGAATACTAGCTACTTCAATCTACAATTGGAAAGGAAGCTTAGCCACTTTAATTTTAACAAGTTATTAGAGAAGAGACGCAAATGATCATATAATTTGTCTTGTACTATTTTGGTTGTAGGACAACCATAATTTCCTTGTATAAGGGGGTTTGTGAGCCTTTCCTACTAAACCTCTCAAGTATTATTGGAAACTCTCAAGACCAAGTCTTGGGGAGAAGATTATGTCCCTTTTTGTTTTTGACTAAACATCTATAATTCCAAGGGTTCCTCTTCTTCTTTAACTTTTTAATTTCAAAACCACATTTTTCCAATCACACAATTCACCCTCTCTTGTATGTGAATTCTCAAGGTCGGAAGAGCCCCCCCTAAAATAGAAAAGGTGAGTCATCTTTGAGTAAGAAGGTATATTCGCCCCTTAAGAAGTCTTCTCAGCTCAAAGGATCTTCCACCCAAAGCACTTCGCCCTTATGTGCCTCATGCTTGAGGGATTGTGTACATGAAACTTAGTTAGCCTGGAAAATGGAAGCCACATGCAGTCAAGTTAACAGCCCAAGCCCAAAGTTAACAATGCGATAATAACAAAATTAGGAGGCTTGAGGTATTCTGGTCATGGTTTTAAGGATCTCGATTTAATGCCCAAGATCGTATGATTTTACAAGCCAACAAAAATCCACCGCTATAAGTTCCACAAAGATCATAGATTAAGCTGGAGCGTTGAAAGGATAGAGGAAGATTGTTAAATTGTGGGATCGAGAGATCCTAATGATTTATTTTTTATTTTAACCCATTTTGACCCATTTGACCCGGTCATTAATAATTGGATTTAGCCCAAAAATTTACCCAGTACGGCTACTCGCATGTGTTTTTGGGTTTTGGGACTTGGAATGTTCTAAATGAGCTCTTGAGAAGTGCAAAAATATTAACCGTGAAAGTTGCGGAACCAAAAAAGAACCTTCATCTATCTTTTCTATAAATTCAAATCATATCTTTATATTATTCTCATCTTTTCCATCCATGCACTCTAAAACCTTTTCCTTCCTTACAAAACATAGTTCTTCAATTTTTTTCACTATGTCTTCATCAATTCCTAGTTATTTCTACAATTTTCTCTACTCGTTGGGATCTTACAATCCGAGTTACAATCCTACAATTTACGCTTTTTTCATACCTAGTGATTTATATCGAGATGTTGATCTTGATAACCATGATTTAGGTATCTCACCTGATCTGTCACCTAAAGTGTTTTACTCTTACATACCTCATACTTGAGGGACTGTGTACATTTTTCCAAATTAGTCTTTGTCTTGACTGAGAGTCGATAGAGCCTGATCTAATTCTCAATCTGTCCATAAAGACAACATCGAGATAAGACAATTAACATGCAAAATTTATCAGGCCGACCCTGAACCATTATGGAGGAAATATTAGAATTAGAAGGATTAGAAACTAAATTCAAAGCGGATTAATGATCATAATGGATCAAAATCAGACAAGAGTACTTCAACTTTGATGGCTATTAAATAGTCATTTTGGGCCTTAAGTATGGAGGAGGACAATAATTCTATATAAAAAGAAGGTGACAACAACAATGGTGATGAGGAGGACCTCAAGATGTGAAAAAGGGTCAGAGATTCAAAGAAAGTTTAGCAACAATTGAGAACTAGACTCATGACTCATTGATCATAAACACAAATGAAAATTGCATTATAATTATGGAAGAGGTAACTTTTCCCCAATTTAATTTATTAATTTTGGTTACAAATTAAATCATGCTCATTTTAATTTTAAATATTTTACATCTCCCTTAACGAAGGAGAATACCTTGTTTATATTTAACATGAAACATTTTCACGTGGTAGGAGTAATCATGATTTTAATTCTATTATTACAAACAAATAGGTTCATTGATTGTAGATTCTTATGTTCTATCTATTATCTGATAAGATTTATCTTATTCAAGGGTTATTACATAAGATGGATTCCTAAACAACACTCAAGCTTATTGGACAATGAAGGCGGGCACAACAACGAAGCTTGTTCTAGCAGAAATAGAACAAGATCATCTTTCTATTTCTCGTCATTTCTGGAGGAGTATGGAACAAAGGATATGTATGAAACGTTCAAGAATTATGTAGATATTGATGAAGTTTTCATCCCTTTTAAATGAGATGTTAGAGGAAAGAGATATGGGTTCGTCAGATTTTTTGAGGTTAGAGATGAAGACTTGATGGCAACCAAGCTAGATAACATCTTTGTTAGCAGCATAAGCTTTTTGTCAACACCCCTCATTTTCAAAGAAGGAATAAAGCATTTGTGGATGTTGAACCCTTGGCTAGAGGTTTGAACCGTCAGACGATGAATGATTGTGTAAGTGGTTTTCATAGGTGATACCATGGAAACTGGTAGATTTAGATGATTCGAGAGTGGATGGAAGTAAATGTTATGGAATTTCTTCCCATGGATGGAACCCATATATATTTGAAGATTTGGTAGAGCCATTAGGTGAGTACCTTTGCACGGATGATAATACACGTTTATGTGTTAAAATGAACGCCGCAAGAATTCTGCTCAAAATAAGGCAATCAAAGGATATTTATGATGAAGTCGAAGTGATAATCAACGCTTTTATTTCCATGTGAATTTATTTGAAGATTCTTAAATCCATTTTCATAACGTGATTGTTGTATCCCAAAATTTTCTCTCTTATTTCACTCAAAGACATGCCTCTAGAGGTCCCCAACTTGCCCTAGGATGACTAAGAATTGATCAGACAAATTCTCCTCCTAAGGCAATAAACCTCAACTAGGGTTTCAATTTTAAGAAAGATGTGTGAGTCCCAAGAATCCAAAATGTTATCCATTGTCCTAATATATCCTCAAGATCATCCTTGCCAAATTTCATGCCTTGAACATTAAGTTTGCTCAGTCAATTGCTCAAATGCTTGGAAATCAATTATACTAGGTCAAAAGTCAACTGTGGCCCAAATATAGTCAAACTTCAAGATTTTTGGTCAACATCAACATTTTGAAGTAACATCCATCATTTGATCAAGGATTTATCATGATTCTCCCGAAGAAATGCTCCTAACTCATCAAAAGTCAAAAATGGCAAATTAGGGTTTCTATAGGAAAAGTCAACCAAACTTTGACCAGGCATAACTTTCTTATACTTTATCAATTTTTTTTCCACAAAAGCTCATTTTGAAGAGAATCCAACTCCCTACAACTTCTCTTCATCCCTCAAGGTCAATAAATTCACCATTGGGAAGATACAAGCTCATACATTATAGGTCCTTTCAAAAAGTCAACAGAAACACCTTTTGGGTCAAAGCTCCTTACATGAACATGGAAGATACAATTGAGATGAAACCAAAAAGGTGGTTTAAAGGACATCTTAAGCTTTCTAAAAAGTCAAAGAACACCCTCTTAGTGTTAGAAATGAGAGAGATATGCATTTCTAAAGTTGACCAATTTTTGGAAATGTGCATGAAGCCAATATTGACCAAACATGAATTTTTTTTCAAATGGGATCATGTTTTCATGCTTGAAACTTGTTCTTAACATGGCCCACGATCTCTGATCTCACTCATACTTTATCTCAGTATTTTTATTTTTTATTTTTATTTTTTATTCATTAAAATTGAAATTAAATAAATAAATAAAAGAAATAATGTGAGATATGATTTGAGAATATTTTTCTCATCAAATAAGGGATAAGATAGGCTGGCATGACCAAGAAAAGACGCATGAGATAAAAGGAGAAAGAGATTTTTTGTTTTAGCAAGTTTTGAAGAAAATCTTTATGCTTTTAGAAAAATGATTAGAATTGATTCTTTTGGGTTGTGATTAAACCTAATGAGATACACTACATAAGCACATAACCCTAGGTCAAAAGAACATGCGCAACAGCCACAAAAAAGGACCATACAAAAGTGCAAAATTTCAAGAAAATCATGAAAATCCAAAAGCATTAGTTCCAGCCTTTGTTGATCAAAATAAAGGAGCCAATCTTCATCTTGAAGGTCCCAGGAAGCCATATCAACCTTCATCCACGACTGAAGCAGCCTGAAGCCGGTCAACCAAGTCACATCCTTTTGGTAAAAAATTTGTATTTGAATCTCTTAACACATGCGACTTAAATGAATCCCAAGCATACATTTGTGTTCATATGATTGTTTTGAATCGTTCCAACGTGCTACATGAAAATTTAGATGCCTAGAATGCAGGTTGCCATGGTTAGGGCTTTGAAATGGCCAATGCACAAACAGGATGATACAGGCCAAATGGCCATCACCATTGAATTTGCAGCATGCAAAATAGGGGGGGGGGGGGGGGGGGTAGCCTGAATTTGGGGCTTCGATTCTGCGTATTTTTTGCAGATCCAATTTTTACTTGGCCAGAGAAGACGATCAGAGCGCAACTCCGACGTCATTGACTTCTCTGACCCAGGCGAAGATCTGGCGTGAAAATTTTACATGTTTTGATTGGTTGGTTTAAATATCAGCGCCCTACTTTTTGGCGCATGTTTGATGACTCACCCATTGCCTTGCTTTTATATTATAGTTTTTTTGCTATTATGTACATGAATGAGCAGGCAGCGCAGTTGGCAAGGGTATGAATATGTGAAGGAAGGGACATGGGTTCGATCCCAGGTCCAGCGTTTTTCTATTTTCTTGATGTTTTCTGCAGATTTCAGTACGTTACATCCCCAGGCGCGTATCATAGATTATCACATCTATACCATTGGATCATTCATCCCTAGATCCAACGCCCCTGGAAACGCTTTACCATGGTGGACCTCCCTAACACAGCCACACCAAATCACACGCGGGATGTGGGCCAACAAGATTTGGGCCTTGACAAATTTCAGCAGCCTACCCCTACAATTGGGTTTCACACCCCCTCAGGCCTATTTCTCAATTTCTTTATTCTTTTTATTTAATTTATATTTTCTTGTTTATTCTTTTTTTTTACATCATAAAATCATAAAAATCAGAAAATCACAAAAAAATAATAGACTTAGGTTTTTTCTAATTTAATTTAATTTTTGATAAATAAATTAATTTGATTTAATTATTTTGACCTATTTCATTAATTAAAATTAAGTAGAGAATTAGGTTAAACTTCTAATTTTTTTATAAAATACCAAAAAAACTATTTTTAATAGACAATTAGATTTCTAGGGTTTCAAACGTAAGCCAATTTTAATTTTTGCGCGATTATTTTTATTATTTATGTAACTGCGCCCGGTTTGTAATAGTTAATTAGGGTTTTCAATTTGCGCATTTTACTTTACAGTCATTATTTATGTATCTGCACCAAAGCCTTGTAATAGCTGTAGGAATTTTATTTCTCGCTTTATATTTCTTATATGCTCGTATTATGAACTGTTAGTAAATTAGGCGTGCATTATAAGATTAAATCAAATAATCATTAGATCACTAACATAAGACAAAATATATGAAAAAATCACACAATCGCACACTTCCACCCTTAGGGTACTCCTCACTTTGTTGCCTCAGAAAATAATGGTCATATCCCTCGAACGTAGGGATATCTTAGCAAGGACCCTCGGTCTAAAAGTTATCATAAAGATCATAGTCCCTTACTGTCCCTCGATTTGCCTACGAGAAATGATCTTGTCCCTCGATGTTGCCTATATGATGACAGTCCCTTCGAAATGCTAAGGTATCCTTACATGTTGCCTTCAATGACCATAACATACCTTTCGATAGTCCCTCAACATCCGACGATAGGGCTACCTACTCACTAATAGTAGGATATCACTATCTAAAGGAAAGGAGGAAAAGAACACCCTTTTTCGAGTAGGTAGATAGTTCTTAAGTACTTGCTCAAACCTGAACTTTTTTACACTTACACACTTTCAAAAAATAATTTCAAAATGCTTTATCACACTCTTGAGGACTCATACAAGAGTTGCCATAAAGCAAACAAAACCTTTCAAAACACACAAACACGAAAACAGTTTTCAAAAAAATGAGCAAGTACCTAAGAGCCCGTGGAAAACCACGAATGGAAAGGGTGCTAACACCTTCCCTTTCCATAATCTACCCCCCTTACTCAGAAAATCTCGAAAAATATATTTTTATGTTCTTTTCACCCTTTCCTTTGTTGGATAAAAGAAAAGTCGATGGCGACTCTTGCTTATCGCGACATTTTCAAATACAAAAACGCAAACCAGTATAAACAGTCGGTTCTTCCACCGTATCACAGAACTGGCGACTCTGCTGGGGAAATAATAAAGTGGGGTTTACCTTAGGGTCTAGATCATTTTGCTTCTTTGTCGGTTTGTTTACTTTATTTTAAGGGTATTGTTTTGGGTTACTATAGATCCTACACTCGGATCTGGGGAAACCTTTTAGGTAAGTAGCAATAGATCGTGGAAACTATGCGGGGTATACCGACATGGTTGAAGCGATGTCTATGTTGATGCGACACTTTGGTTGGTATCGGTAGCCCTTGAGTTAATCAAGGAGAATACGGGGCGGCTGCGTGGTGTCATGAAGAGCCAAATGACCTTAGAACCTTTAATTGAACAACTTGGCCATTAAGACGTAGTGAGATGGCCGTCTTTGGTGTATTCTCAAAGTCGGCAGATACTCGATGCTACACTCATTGAGATTTGACTCCCGAGTTTTGTTTGGTTACAAATCAGTTGCCTATCGGAACGAAACTTGTGGGAAAGATCTGTGATATTGAGATCCCTTAGAACCCGATTACTATTTATAGGATAGGTTGAACCAATCCAAACTTCAAGAGGGTATTACCTTAAAACCCATGCAAGCCTTAAACCTAAGGTCTTTGTGTGATTTGCTTGTGCTTGCTATATATGTAATTTCTTAGCATAATCATGACATCTTAACATGGCATATCATACTAACCATTTCAAGGATTTTCTAGGGCTTATCTTTGTCTTGTTTTGTAGGATACAACATTCGCTCGCAGGAACACTATCCAAATCAACCTTGTGAAAATACCTCCTCAACTCAAGGAGTTAACATCGAGGATTCCTGAAAGCTCTCCCTTCACTGAAAAACATGGTCGACTTCTCAACTTGGTCACTTCAAACCCTGATGATGAAATGTTAAAGGTGTTCTTTCAGTTCTTTGACCCGTTATACCACTGCTTCACTTTTCCTGATTACCAG